CGCACTCCCCCTTCCGAGCCGACTTGGGCCCGTGCCATCGATCCGCGGCCGTCCTCGACGACTGCTTCTCCAACTTCGACGAAGCTGTGGACCAGATTCACGATTCGCTCACCCAGATGCGCCAGCTGAGCAGCCCCGCCGGCTCCGGCGGCGGGTCGTTCCTTTTCCAGATGAGCAACGTGCAGACGTGGATGAGCGCCGCGCTGACGGACGAGGAGACCTGCACGGACGGCTTCGAAGACGTGGCGGAAGGGCCCCTGAAGACCGACGTGATCAAGCGAGTGGAGAATGTGAAGAAGGTGACCAGCAATGCGCTTGCGCTCGTGAACAGTTTTGCTGAGAAGGGAGCCGGCGCGCCGACGCCCCGATGAGTGGTTTGAGTTGGTTTTGACCGTTGGAATTAATGTTAATTAATTAATTAGAGCTAGTAGAGGTTGAATTACATAGTACTCTGTACGTATTTTCTTGCTTAATTGTGTGAGTCAGTCAGAGTGACTTTGTGTAGCAACACCATAAACACTTGTGTTGTTTTTGTGTGTGTGTGTGTATATTTGCTCTCTTCTCTTCCATTTTCTCCGTCTTCCATCCCTATAGAGATCTGTTTTTCCTGCATATTATTTTGCATTTAATTGAGTTAATAGTTTTGTAATATTTTTGGCCTTTCATTCTCTTGTGGAGGTTGTGGTTTTTAAATGCAAGTTCAAAAAAATTGAAGAAAAACAGAGTTGATTAGTAACTTGGCCCATCATAACAGATACATGCGTGAATTTGACAATCGGTACAAATTATCGATTACCGTTGAAATAGCCGTTCGGTCGTTTACCACTTAAAACTAACATCAACAATACAAATTAATCCTTCAACATTGTCATCGATCAGAATTTTTCTTTATGTTTGGTTCAAAGCCACCAGAGAAACAGAAAACGAGAAAAGATTTCTCAATTATATATTATATTTTTTACGGTAAAGCTATGCCTATACCAGCATGGATTTCTGTCACTTGGTTCTGGGTTTTGTATTTTGCGGAACCAACATTAATTTTGTTGGAGAACAATCAGTATAAAACCAAAATAACAGAATAATAAAAACCAACCAATATATTTTATATAGATATAATTGAATCAATACAACAATAATATAGATTGTAGAATACTGACTTGAATTGTAGATAGAGTCCTGCAGATTTGCAGTGTCCTTTAGACAGTATTTCTCCTCTACCCTTGTGCTTGTAGTTCGATAGGAGTCTGTCCACCAGGATTAAACTATCTTAAATCTAAGCCTAAGCACAGTGGCTTGATTTCTGGCGAACAGTGGTATGAATTCGACACCTCTTCATCCAACAGTTATGTTAACTGTTTTAATTAATTCAAATTTCAGATTTTGGTTTTATCTGACTCCACTAGGCCCATACTCTATTTAGTAATTCTAATGTGTTATGTGCTTATAAACTATGGAAGAAAACTACTCTCTTCCAATGTGGGACTACATGCAAGTGTATTTTCCTATACAAACTCTAACAAATTTCACTGTCTTTGTTAATACGATTTGAAGAATAATAAACGAGGAGAGGCCACACTAATCCCCCACTTAACAGGTGTTGATTGTTGTTAACAACAAACAAAACGCAGCAATTTTCATATTACATTAACATAATGTATTATTAGTACCTGCTAATTATTTGATTAAGTTAATAACATAACACTAACTAAATCTAGGCATATCAGAACATGTTGTTGGCTGGTTTGACTATAGCAGCCATTAGCCAATGGCCCGTCGCCCTGTCAAAGAAAGAGAAATTAATCTATTCTTCTTCTTTACTCGAATACACACACGTGATTCTTTGTCTCACCTTGGAACATCTGCTGCATATGCTCGATTAGGTTACATTTGTTACATATTTTCTTAACGTCATATAAGATTAGGGTTCTTACTCCTCCCTAGGGCCGGCATGTCTCGGTTTGCATGGAGTGGCTTGATTGGAATTTGGAAGTGCACGCGGGCAAACAAATCTTATGACATGATTGCAGCTTAGGGTTATTTAACGAGGATGGGCCGAGGGGCTTCTGGTTACCAGTAAAGGTCGCAATGAAGGGTTGATTGAGTGTTTGTTGGGAACCATATGTTGGAGCTGAGAGCATGAGGTCTGGATGTCTCAACAATATGATGGTATATATGTATACGTAACACACAACAAAACCTGAAAATGAAGGCCATAATCATATTCAATATTAATTGGTGTGAAAAGGGGGAGGGAGAGCGATGGGAAGCATAATGTGGAGACGGATTGTTTGGCAGGTTGTAAAAAGGATTTGGGATTTAGCCGAGAGACATCACGAAATAGAACATCACGTGAAATGAAAAAAACAAACAAGTGTTTGTATGAAATAGTTCCATAGCTAAAAGACAGAAATATCACTATCCTTGTCCCAAAGAGACGAATGGCATAAAGTTCACGAGAACTCATTATCATTTTAATTTTGTATTGCACCAAATCAAATCTGCGATTTCAATTCCATGGGTCTCCTCTTCTGCTATAATTACAGTTACTGCCTGAAAAATCGACGGCCTCACGACAAAACTATGGATTGTTTCGAAGCTTTTTTCTTATGACTTTCCAATTCAACTATAATTAAGCTGATGCAGCCCTTATTATAAGCCCATCCGGTCAGGAATTTTCACAAACACCGGGGGTGTAATTAGTGACTAAAATTTACAAACAAATTACAAAGTGCAATGATTAGAGAACTTCACCAAACACATGGACATTATTTTGAGATATTTAGTCATATATCTATTCTTAGCACTAATGATATAGATAAACCCTACACCATTTAATTTCTATAAACAAACCCAAAAAATGACAGTTGACCATATTGAATTTAATTTTGATTATTAAATTACTTTGATGCCCTATTGAGTGTTTTGGGTTTATTTTTACGAAATTTTAGGGTCGGGCTTCTTTTAAGAAATCGACGGCAGTTTGTAATTTATAAGAAATTAAAAGCCTCTTAGTTATGTTGTAAATGAGTTTTAGGTGTGTTTCTTAGGTCCATTACATATAAGGGTTATATATATATATATATATAATTTGGGCCCTTATATTGGGTATAATAGTGAATCCCCCATAATAGTTTTGTTTTGCGTCATGGCCAAGGAAATCCATCCACAAAGAAAAAAGAAGAGGATAGAAACAAGAGGCTTAATCCAAAGAAACCCTTAAATTATTTGAAGCTGTTTAATCCAAAGAAACCAATTTATATGGAGATGGTGTGGTAGAAAAATTCCAAAGTCCTTAAAAACAATCCATTCAATATGGTTGTGCTGACGTGCATATTTCGGATACAAAAAGAACAAACACTACTGACTCTGGCTAGGTTCTAATTAATAAATCAATGTTAGACAGTTCACTACCGAAAGTCCAAGGAGGTATTCGGTGGGGCGACGCCGAACACCAAGAAGAAATGTTTGGTGTTGTGTGATAGTGTATCAAAGTGTACTAGAGATGTTTTTGGTAATTAAATATTGTGTATTTTAGTTAATTTTACATTTTAATTTAAATAATAAATTGTATTTAGTTAATTTTAAAGTTGGTTTAACAACACCCAAAAAAAGAAAAAGAAAAAAGTACTACTATTTATCACCTCCTCTTTTCTTTCTCTCCTTGACTCTAGTTTAAACAAAACTCAAATCCCTGTTTTTTATTCCGAAATTTCCTTCTTTTTGTTTTTATCTGTCGCTGGGAGGTTCCATAATTTCCTTCTTAAGCAGTACTCTTTTGTAGAAAAATATCATTCAGTTGTCGTTTATATGAACTCAAATAATCCTTTTTTTGTTTGATCGGAATCAGATAGGGGGGAAAACTTTTTGGAAAGAAACATCATTAGAGCAGAAGGTACTCGGTAACGAGCAATATTTATAAAATAGTTTTTTTTTCTTTTCTTTTTCTGCAAGTGATGTTAGGATAGGGGAAATCGAAACATGTAATTTTGAATATAGAGAGAAGTGTTTTTAACCACTTGAACTACAAACTCATTGCATATTAATTTAAGTTTTTTGTTTGCAAACCCATAAATAAACTTTTGCAACCCAAAAATTCTTGATTCGTAATTTTAATAGAAGTGAAGTTTGGTAAGTTGGCCATAAAGGATATGTTTTCCACTCTGCATCCGAGTTCGAATCTCTATCTCTATACTTTATATTAAATTAAAGTAAAATATCATCTATATAAATAAGGGAGTTTCACTAAAACACCCAAAATATGAGCTTAAATTATAAAAAAAACCCAAGCACTATTTAAACATATAAACACACCAAAAACCCATCATTACACACACTCAAAATCCATTTATAAATACACCCAAAAAGTTGACTTTGGGGTTGATTTTGGGTGTGTTTCTATGTTTAAATAATGCTTGAGTTTTTCTATAAATACATGTTTAGGATTGAGTTTATTTATAAATTTGTATATAAATAAAGGCAAAAAGACTTTGACAGCCAGTATATAGTAATCTTAAAAAATCCAAGGATTGTAGAAAGAGGAGATTGAAATCCTACATTTTTCCTGAATATCATGGGATATATCAATCTAATGATTTCGATATCAGACAACATTTCCTTCTAAAATTGCACACGGAATAGGAATTGCAGTCTACTACTTCGAAAGGTTCTGATTGACAAGCATGCGTTTGTTTTAAAACTCTTCATGGGCCAACGCAAGGATCTGCTTGGTAAATCGCACCGGGCCGGCCTTGTTTGCAAAAATGTATCATGACAACATCCCTTGACGTTGAGATCAACTATCAAATCATTTGGAAATAAAGAAGAAGAAAGAGCCCTGAGATCAACTCTCAGATCATAAATTGAAGAAGATCAAATTATCCAGTTCTCAATTGAAGCTTCAAAGAAAAGAGACACACAATTGCATATACACCACTATGAACCTTAACGGTGGGTCTCCATGTGTAGCGTTGCTGTCTCGTGTGGTGGGTGTGTATTCACTCTTTTGTGGCTTTGAAGGTGCGGTCTCCATCTCTTTGGTGGTGACAATGACTTTGTGTTGTATTTTGTTTTGATTTTGTGACACAGAAGATTGTTATACTGTGCTGGTTTTAGTCTAATATTCTCTGTGCTTGTATTCTCTGTCTGTTTCTTTCCTATTTTGGGATTTTAATGAACTCGGATTGATTATAAAAATAAAAACATGTTCTTAAAGCCAAAAATGGCTTCCACCATGAACGAGCTAATCATACTTATAAAAATGTACATTCCAGCTGAGCTAATGATATAATCTTGGTAATCCAAACTGAAATCCAAATGCCTCACCTTTGTCGCAGTCGGAGCAACGCTGGACAAAACCACGTCAGAGATTCTATATACCTCTAATCTTTCTATATCCAATCCTTCGAGTTCAGTTTATTTGGCCAAAAAACCTTAAAAAATTCAGGTTCTTTCCACATCACAGTCTCAATATCGATCGTTTTATTATTGTCCAGCATCATTTGTAGCTCAGGAACCCAACCTTCTTTCTTCACAATTTCTTGTTTCATCAGATTTTTAAGCACATTGATTTTGCGATTTCTCATTGCTTTTCCTTTATAATCAATGTCGTATTTATCAAAATACTCGTTCATATGACCTGTATTGTTCTAACTTTAACGTGTCATGTGTGATTATTTTACCCCCTCCTTCCTAAATTGAAATGGTTTAACTGCCAATGTGCGAGTATGAGTTTAATTATGTTGAAGCAATTGTTTCAGCTCAGAAGAGAGTGTGCCACGCAGCAATCGATACAAGGTTTGTAAAATGTCTACTCGACATGTTATATGCAGAGGCTGATGGGTATATTTTATATTATATATTTAACCCAATTCTTAGTATATTTTGGTTAATATTTTGAAAGAATTTTGATACTTTGCATTATATTTCCAATATAAGACTTTCGACTTCCTCTGCAGAAAAACATAACCAAATGGACGAATTTTGGAGTAATTCCAGTTGGAGGACGTTTGCGAGTCACTTAGCTTGATTGTATCAAAATTTCAGATTTTTCTACCAAGCGGTTATTTTCTGACAATAAAATAAAGGAGCAGTGCGCGGTGTTGGAATAATGACGTTTTGGGCTTTTATTGCATTTTGGAGCCCAAAATGGCCTTGAATGGATTCGTGGCCTTCTGGAGAAGTGTTCAAAATGTTTTTATCTTTAAAACAAGCTATCTTGGGCTGGATTTGGAGGAGATTCAAGGCCAAATATGGTTGGGCAGATTGTGGGCAGATTCGACTTATCCAATTTGGACTTTATATCATAGTATTATTTTATTTTAACTTAGTTCCATTGTGGGGATTGGGCAGCTGAGTTTTATGAGGTATTTAAGTTCTTTCTCGCAGCAATTTTAGGACTTTTTTTTGGCTTTTGAACGTGACATTGTGGAGAGCAAATGTTAGGGTTTTGAAGTTTTTGCGACTTTAATGTGTTTTCATTCTTTTCCTTCTTAATAATATTTTCCATGATTTCAGTTATGAATATGCTTAACTAATTTTCTTTTGCTATGGTGAAGCCTTGAACCTTAGCATGAATATGTAATTTTTATTTAATTGCTTATGATTGATTGCATGCATACTTAGAATTGTTAATCGCTGTTTTAAATTATCTAATTGTTTTAATGCCTGATCACCATTAGGATCTTTATAAAAGTAATTAGATGCAATTTTCGTCGAAAGGTTTCCTGAAATTGACGTTGGCTTCTTGTGATTAATAATTGTAATTTCACTTAAGATGAACACCACGTCTTAAGGGTTGCATGGTTTTTCAAAGGGTTTTCACAAAACATAATGAGTTTTTCATGTTCAGATTTGATCCGAACATCTAAACGGGTTGTATGTTGGATATACGTTCAATGTTAGAGGTTCCAAGTAGAATATAAATTAGGAAAATCTAACATTCAAAGTGGCATGTGCAAATCATAAGTAATTGGTAAAAATTTATAGGATTGCTAGGTGATGGTGAAACCCTAGTGCTTTTTTAAATTGGTATTTAAATCTCTTTCCTTCAATCATAATTGTTCTTGTTTAAAATTTGTTTTTAGTATCAAACAATTTCATAATCATCTTTCTTAACTTTTAATTTTAGGTAGTTAATTGAAAATTATTTTTACATAAATTGCTAAATAGTCATTGAGAAGAACGACCTTGCATAAGCATCTATACTACAATAGCCTTGTATTCTTGCAAGTATTTTATGTGATTTTAACCATATTTGCATGGATGGTAAAAATCGTATCAGAGGCTAAAAAGCTTGCATATGTTAAAATGGTAAGATGATGACCTAACTAACTTCTCATAAGTCTCTATAACATGTTATGTCTTTTCATTTTTTTTTATAGTCTTGGGACTTGTAACCAGTTTGGAATTTTGTATCTTTGATGTTGTAGGATGCTAGTGGTGTAGATGTTGGTACATCCATTGACGATGATCTTGAAGAATATTATTTTTACGACTCAGGGCCTAAGGATGGTTGATTTAAGCTCGTACTTGGTGAGAAAATAATAGGGAGATTTACTATTATATCCAATATATGGGCCTAAATTATAAATATAAAAAAACTGTACATAAAATAGACTTTATTAGAAATGCACCCAAAATCCATTTACAAAATAACAAAGAGGCTTCGAAATTCCTATAAATTACAAAACTGTCATCGATATAAAATATTCTATATCAGATTTAACTCCAAAAATGTTTGTATCATATCTGACCAAGCAATTAGAAGCAAATCTAAGCAAGTCAAAGAGTCCCACATTGAAATATTACAAGATGTGTAGACTCCTCATCACCTATAAAAGGAGTCTATTCTCCGCTTAGGGAGGGATCCCTAAGCTGGGCTTGATGTTTAGTCATGGACTTCTCCTTTCTTCCCTTTATATTTGGGCCCAACCCTTGTACAAATGTAAATATACTTCTTTGTGGATGTAGTCCATTCATTAAGGGTGAACCACGTATATCTTATCTTCTATATTTTTATCGCTTGCTTAAATCTTCATACACATGTTGAGTCTTCACCTTCACCCATCATCCATCACACCTCATCTCTAAGTTGGACTTAATCTTGGCTGTCTATTTTTTAACATCAACAGTTTGACGCCGTATGTGGAAATCGATGCAAAGGGCTTCTGTTGTTCTCCCCTTATTCAATGCCTTTGGGCACCCCTACAATCAACATCACCTAACTTGTCGTTTGACAATACCATGCTGGAGGAACCATGAATGCTAAGGCAACAATTGCAGAAGATGATATTTCAAGGGAATCCCACGTGGCCCACTTCCATGAGCTAAGTGGCATGTTCATAACTTTCCACAGTATTTTATATTGGAGGAAAGAACTATCTGTGGGATCAAGGAAAAGTCAACCAAGATATGGCTATTACTTTGCATGCCTTGCATGACTAAGAGGGCAAACAACCATCTCAACAAAATTCAAAGTATCGAATGATAATACCACCAATTCTAGTCCTAGGGGAAGCCTAAGTAATTCATTTCAAAGAGAAGATAGAGAGTGCTGAACACATTCTAAAATCTATAAATACCCATTCATTTGTTAAATAACTTTATTTTAAAGAAAAATTATATAGTGTATTGGAATTTGAATTGTTTAAGATTAACATGTTCAAAAAATTAAATCACGAATGTTTAAACAAAAATAATATAAAAAATTAGCAAAGGAAATATAAAATTAGAGGTTAACCACCCTTAAACCCTAAGTTAGAGATGGCCTAATGATTCGTACATCACCTTAATAGTGTGTTTACTAATCAGGAATTGGAATTCTCATTAGGAATTGAATTCCATCTATGATGGATTTTTTTGTTTACTTTACATCAAGGAATTGAAAAGCAAGTGGGGCTTACACAAAATTAGGAATTGAATTCCTTGAAAATCAGGAATTCAATTCTTGAGCGGGAGGTGGTATTCTAATTCCTGGATAACTAACCCATTATATCCTCACACAATTTTTAAATTTTCAAATTTGTCATCTACTTTAACTCAACAACAAAGACATTTTAGTAATTAGTACCACTCATACCCCAATTCCATATGGTTTAATAAACAACTTCAACATGAATTAAGAATTTAACTCCTCTCAATTCATATGGTTTAGTAAATAACTTTAATAGGAATACGGTATCTAATTCTCCTTAATCCAACTCATCCTCAATTTAATTTATTATTTTAATTCAATTCCTCATAATCCAATTACGAATTAGTTAACATGCCATAAGTTTCAAAAAATTACAATTTTGGAAGAAATTCAATTTGGACTGCCACTTTGAGGGGCGACTCGGGAATACTACACCCATTAGAGAAAGGGGATTACAACATTTCCAGTGAAGCATCTCAACATCCACAAATTTCTTCATCACACTCACACAGGACTCTTGGAACGTTCCACCTATGTTATATGAAATTATAATCACCTTGGATAATAACATTTGACCAAATACAATCAATAATACCTCACCCGATTTCTGAAGTTCTTAAGCTCCTCTTCCCTTTCGTATAGCATGCATTTCAAACTAGCATATCCATCTCAGGGTCACCATCAACCAAGAACATATTTCAAAGAGTGCTACTAAACAAACCCTTATTAACTGAGTACATCCTACTACAAAAATATATATTGAATTATTGATTTACCCTAATATAGAATGACCAAAAAGGATATATGAAATTGTGAAACAAATATAATTTTAATAAGTACACCCTACTAATCATATTCAACCCTAATCAAGAGATTACTTGGTTCCCATCTTTGTGATCCGCGAGTGCAACCAGGGACAGAGAAAGAAAGAAGTTGAAGTTGATTTCTGGCAGTAGACTTTGGCCAGCAAAACAAAGCCACCGCTTCGAGGTAAGAGAATCTTAACTCATTACTAGCAAACAATAAAAAGATTAATATTTCTCAAAATCGATCCTTTCGTCTCTCTCTTTCTATGTTCATAGTGGATACCAAAAGTACACCTTAGAGCACTAGCTTTGGGGGAAAAAGTCTTGTTATTCGTGCACGTCCACCTCAATGTAGGGCTTACAACAAGCCATTAGAAAACAGTTTTGGAAGGACACAAATGAATTGGCCTCTTATTAGTACATTGCAGAGATATTATTCCAGTTTTATGTAGCATATATCAAAATAAAAGCAACATTAATAGGATCATCAGCAAAGATAATACTAACATGAATCATCTCTGTGACTTCTGCAATACATTGCTGTCTTGCACGCAGTCCGTTGAAAAAGCCTTTTCCAACTACGAATAGTCCATCTAGAGAGGTTGGGAAAGTTGAGAACAAATAAATTTCACAGTGGTATATAATTGAAACATGCATAAAAAAATCACTATTAACGAAAGAGGTGGTGATTGCAAGAATTTGGAATTGCAAAAAAAGTGTCAACAGTTTTAGTAGAAGCATAAATCCATGTGAAAAGTCAAAGATTTATAAACACTATTAAAAAAATCAATCTGAAAATCAACTATAAAATAATGCTACAAGTATTAGGGTGTACCAGAAGTATTTTTGGTATTTCTATATTGTATACTTAGTTAATTTTACATTTTAATTAAAATATTATGGTGTGCTTGTTTGCCCGTTTCGGTGTTCACTCCTGTGATGGAAGGGCAAAGTTCCCCACTGCCTTGAGAACCATAAACTGGTTGACAAGTCAGCTTTCTTTGGTGTGCGAGCGTGCCACTGCTAGCAATACAAATTCTAGCAGACTTAGTTTGGAGTAGATAACTTGCGCCCCAAGTTACTGATTTCTGCAAACAAACGATTGTGAATTTGGGTGAGGAATATCTCCCAAGTAAGTTCTTTTCTTGCCTCAGACGGGTGAGGACTTTAACAATTTATCTCAGTATAAACAGGCTGCTCTGGCCAAAATGGTTGATGGAATTTAAACTGTTTCAGGCAGAACTGATGGAATTTAAACTGTTTTTAGGCAGAACTGATGGAATTTAAACTGTTTTTAGGCAGAACTGATGGAATTTAAACTGTTTTTAGGCAGAACTGATGGAATTTAAACTGTTTTTAGGCAGAACTGATGGAATTTAAACTGTTTTTAGGCAGAACTGATGGAATTTAAACTGTTTTTAGGCAGAACTGATGGAATTTAAACTGTTTTTAGGCAGAACTGATGGAATTTAAACTGTTTTTAGGCAGAACTGATGGAATTTAAACTGTTTTTAGGCAGAACTGATGGAATTTAAACTGTTTTTAGGCAGAACTGATGGAATTTAAACTGTTTTTAGGCAGAACTGATGGAATTTAAACTGTTTTTAGGCAGAACTGATGGAATTTAAACTGTTTTTAGGCAGAACTGATGGAATTTAAACTGTTTTTAGGCAGAACTGATGGAATTTAAACTGTTTTTAGGCAGAACTGATGGAATTTAAACTGTTTTTAGGCAGAACTGATGGAATTTAAACTGTTTTTAGGCAGAACTGATGGAATTTAAACTGTTTTTAGGCAGAACTGATGGAATTTAAACTGTTTTTAGGCAGAACTGATGGAATTTAAACTGTTTTTAGGCAGAACTGATGGAATTTAAACTGTTTTTAGGCAGAACTGATGGAATTTAAACTGTTTTTAGGCAGAACTGATGGAATTTAAACTGTTTTTAGGCAGAACTGATGGAATTTAAACTGTTTTTAGGCAGAACTGATGGAATTTAAACTGTTTTTAGGCAGAACTGATGGAATTTAAACTGTTTTTAGGCAGAACTGATGGAATTTAAACTGTTTTTAGGCAGAACTGATGGAATTTAAACTGTTTTTAGGCAGAACTGATGGAATTTAAACTGTTTTTAGGCAGAACTGATGGAATTTAAACTGTTTTTAGGCAGAACTGATGGAATTTAAACTGTTTTTAGGCAGAACTGATGGAATTTAAACTGTTTTTAGGCAGAACTGATGGAATTTAAACTGTTTTTAGGCAGAACTGATGGAATTTAAACTGTTTTTAGGCAGAACTGATGGAATTTAAACTGTTTTTAGGCAGAACTGATGGAATTTAAACTGTTTTTAGGCAGAACTGATGGAATTTAAACTGTTTTTAGGCAGAACTGATGGAATTTAAACTGTTTTTAGGCAGAACTGATGGAATTTAAACTGTTTTTAGGCAGAACTGATGGAATTTAAACTGTTTTTAGGCAGAACTGATGGAATTTAAACTGTTTTTAGGCAGAACTGATGGAATTTAAACTGTTTTTAGGCAGAACTGATGGAATTTAAACTGTTTTTAGGCAGAACTGATGGAATTTAAACTGTTTTTAGGCAGAACTGATGGAATTTAAACTGTTTTTAGGCAGAACTGATGGAATTTAAACTGTTTTTAGGCAGAACTGATGGAATTTAAACTGTTTTTAGGCAGAACTGATGGAATTTAAACTGTTTCCTCCATCCCTATCCTGCAGCCTGTATGCCCCCATTCCGAGGATCTGGTTGATTATGAAAGGGCCTTCCCATGTAGGTGCCCATTTTCCATAACCAGCCACATGGGTTCCGAGGGGCAGAACTGCTTTCCAGACTATCTCCCCTTCTTCAAAACTCTTGTCCCTAACTCGCTTGTTGCAGGCCCTTGATACAGCCTGCTTTCCTACCAGGAGTTTGTTGAGAGTGTCAATTCTGCCTGCATCTAATCCCTCCAGTTCCAACAGCATGGCCTGGGAGTAGTTTTCTCCTACTAAGTCATGTTGGTGAGCAATTCTGAGGGACTGAACAGCTATCTCCATAGGCAGAATTGCATCATGACCGTAGGTTAACGCATAGGGAGTCATGCCAGTCGCTTCTCTTTTTGAAGTTCTATATGCCCACAGAGTTTCTGACAGCTTCTCATGCCATTGTTTCGGATTCTTCTCAAGCATTTTCCTGATAATGTTGATGATCACTTTGTTGCTTGATTCCGCCTGTCCATTGGCTTGGGCATAATAAGGAGTGGACTGGAGCAGTCTGATTTTGAATGCCTCTGCCATGTCCAGCATTTCTCCGGATATGAAGGAGGATCCTCTATCAGTTGTGATTGATTCTGGGATGCCAAATCTTTGGATAATCTGCTCTGCTATGAAAGTGATGATCTCTTGAGATGTAGTAGATTTAACAGCCTTGGCTTCCACCCACTTAGTGAAATAGTCTGTGGCAACAATGATAAAGCAGTGCTGCTGGCTGCTGGCTGGATAGATCTTACCAATGAGATCCATTGCCCATCCTCTAAAGGGCCATGGTTTTACCACTGGATTCATGGGAACTGATGGAGCCTGCTGGACTGGACCGTGTCTTTGACAAGATTCACACCCCTTGGAATAGTTAATGCAATCTTTCATCATGGTGGGCCAGAAGTAGCCATATCTCCTAATTAACCAGCACATTTTTCTCCCACCTTGATGCGCTCCACAGATTCCTTCATGGGTTTCCCCCATAACTTTCATGTATTCTTCCTTTCCGAGGCACCTTAAAAGCACCTCATCCTTGCTCTTTCGGACCAAATCTTCATTCCACATAAGGTAGTTTAAAGCCATGATTCTGACTCTCTTCTCAGAGGGCAAAGTTGGATATCGTAGATAGGTCATGATAGGATTTCTCCAATCATCTTCAGTGATTGTGGCAGAATTGACATCTATCTCCATCCCTCTGGCCAGAACAGATGGTAGGCTTTTCTTTCCTACCCTGATG